GTCTGGTTCGTCTCTCATCTCTCTCTCTCTCTCTCTCTCTCTCTCTCTCTCACACACACACACTCACTCAAAGAGAGAAAGAGAGCACAGAATCAGAGTCGCCGTGCTGCCACGATGCTAGAGCATCGAATCTGATCTCTCTCTCTGCTGCGATGCTAGAGTTGATCTGAGTAGAGCTCTCTCTCTCTCTCTCTCAAACCTAAGCAGATCGATCTCTCTCTCTACTCAGATTTCTCTCCCTCTCTGTGATGATGATGTTGGTCGATGATGTTTTTTTTTTTTTTTGATCGGATGTTGATGATGTTTGTTATTGATGATATTGAAGATGTTGAATGATGTTGCTGTTTTTTTTTTTTTTTATTCGGGGTGGGGACGGGGACGGTGGTAGGTTCCCCGTCGGGGATCGGGGTCGGGGACGGGGAAATGTTTACAATCGGGGATCGAGGACGGGGAGTGCGATCCCCGGCCCCGCCCCGCCTCGTTGCCATTCCTAACGGTGCCATTCTATAGGGCGCTTTAGAGATAGGTGTTGTATTGGGGACCAAGTCAATGGAAAATTCTACTTCACGGTCTAGAGGAAGACTAGGTAGATCCTCTGGCAAAACATTAACAAATTCCCTCACTACAAGCAACTCCTCGAACTTCTGCTCTGGTTGTTCGGTACTCACCACACAAGCTAAATAACCATGACACCCTTTTCTCAACATTCGATTAACCTGAAGGGAAGAAATAAAACAAATAGAAGACCCTTTTTCTATCTCCCTGAAAGAAAAACTCATGTTGTCCCGACATAGCAAAAACTACCCTCTTCCTAAAACAATCCACAGAAGCATGATGCTTCGTCAACCAATCCATCCCTAAAATCGCGTCAAAATCCTTCATTTCTAAAGAAATCAAATCCACTAGAAAAATCCTACCATCAATCTCTATCTCACAAGATCTACAAACATCCCCCAACATTAATGTTTCTCCTAATGGAGTAGACAGAGCAATACATGCATCCAAAGGCTCACAAGGAATAGACAAACAACGTAGAAACTTAGGTGCAGCAAAAGAATGTATAGATCCGGAATCCAATAAAGCTTTGGCAACTACAGATGATATAAGGAGTGTACCTTGTACCACAGATGGGGCAACCTCAACCTCCTCTCTAGTGAGAGCATAAACTCGTCCTTGGGTAGCTGCTGACTTCTTCTCCTGAGTCCCATTCCCAAATGTCTGACCTTGGGTAGTCCCATTTTTGCCATTGTTTTGCTTCTGGTTAAACCCACCACTATAAAAAGGTCGTCTCTGCCCTAGCCCCTGAAATGACTATGCTGCTGACTGACCTCCTAGCCCCTTTGACCTACATTGTGCAGAGAGATGCCCAGGCTTGCCACACTTGAAGCACATTCGAGCTGTGCTATCACAATTATACCCAACAGAATATGACCTACCACATTTATCACAAATCCTCCGATTATACTGCCTCATGCCATTGCTAGCCTGACCTTAGGTGTAAGGCTTCTTGCTAGGATTGCTACCACCACCACGCTACACTACTTGTCTCTCCTTCCTAAGCCTCTTGTTTTGTGGTTCCTTGGCTTTTGTTCATCAGCTTTCTTTTCCTCTTCAGCTCCCTTTTCGACTAGTAATGCCTTGCCTACCAATGCAGAATATGTCTTCATCTCCAAAATAACTACTTTTGCATAGATCTCTAACCATTAGCCATTCTCAAACAACATCACTCTATCTTCCTCTATGGCCACCTGATGTGGGACATAACTCGACAACTCCGCAAACTTGGCTTCATACTGAGCCACTATCATGTCATTTTGCTTCAGATTGAGAAAATCCACTTGTTTCTGCCTTCGCACTGCTTCAGGGAAGTATTTCTCATTAAACAGTTCTGGAAACTTGCTCCACATTAGCTTTGTTTCTCTACCCTCATATTGATGCTTCACCATGCGCCACCAATGCTCTGCTTGACCCTTGAACCTAAAAACTACAAAGGCCACCTTCTGGTCTGTTGAACAACCTAGAACATCAAATATTTTCTCCATCTCTAGTACCCATGCCTCTGCATCCATAGGGTCCACTGTTTAGTGAAATTCTTAAGGTTTTGCCTTCGTAAACCTCTTAAATAAGGAACCTCTATCCAAACTTAAAGTTAGTGGAACTGCTAGTTATGGGGCTACATGATTGTTCAATAATCTCAGCAATGACTGTAAAACCTATGTGGCTGGTGCAGCAGGAACAACTTCTGGTGCTTTAGGGACCACTGGAGTCACAAATGGTGCAATAGAGGGAATAATGCCCACAACTGGAGCAGTAGTTGGCGCTACTGAAGGAGAAATAGGAACAAGGAGAACTCTACGATTAGCGGCTGGCTGATCAGTTTCAAGAGCATTCACACTTCTTCTCCTAGGTGCCATCTCTTAACCTTCAATATGAAATCAAGAAAAGCTCAACAAAACTAACTTAACCATACACTACTAAGGATTATAAGGACTCGAACCTCGTCTAAATGATGAAATACAAGATATGTAACTTCATAAACCATAGCTCTGATACCACAATTGTCACACCTCAAACTCGGGTATGACCGGCCGTGGCCCACAGGGCCTTAGCCCAAGGCACATGTAAGCCTAAACACGAATCCATAATCACAATGAACAACTATACAATAGTCCAGTAATAAATAACCAAACTCAATCCAATGAAATGCCACAAGTATAAACGGTAAAACCATCCATAATCAATACCGTCCAAACTTATGGGATATAAACAGCCCACATATCAAAATAATCCTAAATGAACCTCGATAAAAATAAAAATAAATATGCACAAACTTGACATAACAATCTAAAACAAAATAAATTAATGTCCTAGAGGTCCATGCAGTTGAGTCCACGCTACGTCTTGAGTCCACTCTAAGTCTTTCTAACACCTGGAAGCGATAAACAAACAAGTCAGCTGATAGCTCAGTGAGTAGCAACATGGATAGTAAATACAGGTTTGAAAACAGGGTTCAATTCCAAAATAAGATATATATCATAGAAACTAGATTGGCATACACTTTCGATAAAGATAATCAGTTTCAAAAAGAAGGTTTCACAATTCAACAGTTAAAATACTCATGTCTATCAAGAACATGATAAATGACATTTTCCACATAAAATAGATTACAACATGAACACCAATAATTTTCTGGGTACCAAGAATAACAAGTAACATGCCACACAGTTCTTAAGGCAATAAGCCCATTGGATCCAATATCGAACCAAGAGCCATCCTTGATGTGTCAACCCGGGCCTTTTCTTTAAGACGATCTGATTGAATGTCACCTAGCCTAGCCTAGCCTAGGCCTTTTTTTACAATCGTTGAGCACTAGAGTCATCACGACCCAACCCGGATCTGCTCCCTAGTGGCCAGAGTCACCACACACAATGGAATAATTTCCCTAGGCTAAAATACACAGATGGTCCTGATCATCAATACAATTCAGTTTCGCAAAACATGGTAGTTCACCATTATAAACATGAGACCATAACAAATAGTTTACAATATGCTAATTTTACACATGTTTTCGAAATAATTTAATTTCATTGATAATATAATAATTTATCAAAACAGTTTAGTCCTGAAACAACAATTTAATTTTCCAACAGTTCAGGATAAGAAAACATTTAGAAAAATATGTGACATGCAACTACTCACCTAAATTCCAAAATGTGTAACCTTTAGAAATAATGTGAAGAAATAATCACTTCTATCCTGAATAAAATAATAATAGTAATAGTATTAAGAAAGACCTATACTTAAATTATATTATAGAATCAGAATCTAAAAAAATAAATAAATAAATAACCCCAAAAATGAAATCTACACCTCAAAAAACCTTAGGTATGTATTTCTCGAAATTAAAAACTCATCCATTAAATCCATAAATCACTAATGTGTACTAAAATCTTAGAACCCAACCTCACATGATCACAACCCGCACAAGCCTATTACTTTCCTGCAACCCTTCAATTAGTTGACTCTAGCAACCCATTACTAAGACCAGGGCATCAAATATATATATATATATATATATATTTTTCCTTATTCACACCACTGCTACACAATCTCTCGCGCACGCACTACAAATTGTATATATTATACTAATAGTAATGGTATTATATGAGTAATTAATTAAATCAATTAAATGTTCATTCCTCATCAACTTCAAATAAAATATTAATCATAACTTTAAAATATCAATAATTGAAACAGTGCTAACTCAATATTATAGACTTATGTGAATCTGCTCTTATAATATATAAACAAATCCTTAATCAAAACCAAACCCACTTATTCATCGTCATAATACCTCACAGCCAAACCCAAAACCCACCACACTAATCATAAAATCTTCAAATTAAACCACGCAGATAAAGTTTCAGCATGATACTGGAAGTAAGATGAACAAAGATGGAGTACCTGCTAGTCCACTTCGACTAAGTTAAGCGGCTGCTCCTTCTCTCTCTCCTCTCTCCCCTCCTGCCTCACTCTTAAGGGTCACAACACTACAAGAATTTACACATTTTGCGACCACTTTTGCCGACCAAAAAAATTTTGGTCGCAAAAAAATGACATTTGGCGACCAAATATTAATTAGTCGCGAATGATCATTATTTTTGGCGACCAAATATTATTGGTCGCAAAAGGTTATATTTTGGCAACCAAAAAATATGTTGGTCGCAGAAAGTGGTATACTTTTGCCGACCAATTACAAATTTGGTCGCGGAAGGTCACATATTTTTTGGCGACCAAAAATTTGGTCGCGAAAAACTTATTGTCAGCAACCAAAAAAAATTAGTCGCCAAATTAATACTTTTAGCGACTAATATTTTAGTCGCCGTTGATTGAGATTTGACGACTAAAAAAATTTGTCGGCGAAAGAACCTATTTTTGCGACTAATTTGATCTTTTAGTCGCCAAAAATTTGGAGAAAAATTTGAAAGATAAGGGGGGAAATGAAATTTGAACCACCGTCCCACTCCTCATTAGTTGTATCCATGTACTACTGTTGCAACTTGCAAGTGTGGAACAATGAAAGGATCAAGACTTTCGAAGTAGCAGATGACTCCCCAAACCTCATTTTTTCTCTCATGTCGAAAACCCTTCTCTCCCGCATCATAGCTCGTCATAACCCCAAACCCAGTTCTTCCCCTTCCTTCTCCTTCAAACCCCACATCAAGCGACTCGTCAACGAACTCTGTGACATCCTCAAAACCCACCACCACAATCAATGGCAAGACACCCTCGAAACCCGCCTCTCCGAAGAAGAAATCGTCCCATCTGACATTGCCCATTTGGTGCTCGACAGAAAAAAAATTAAAGCCCGATCTCCCTTGTCTCTATCTAAAAAAAGCCCTAATCTGTGTCTCTCTATGTTGGCCCGTCCCTCCCTCTTTCTGTGTTCTCTCTCTCAATCGGTGCCCACTCTCTCTAGCTCACCGAAGTCCCTTACCACCATTGCTCACGTCCGTCGCACATCGCCATCGACATCGCCCTCTGTCTAATGGACTCCTCATTTCTGGGCCGTGTAAGCAGGGTTGGAGGGTGAGATACGAAGGGAACGAGTGGGATTCGGAGACCTTGAAGGTTTTTGTGGTCCCTCATTCGCATAATGACCCGGGTTGGAAGCTCACTGTTGAGGAGTATTATGATCGACAGTCAATTGGTTTCACTTGATTTGCTTATCAAAATAATTATTTACAATTAATTATATCCAAACAGGTTATTTTCTGCGGCACTTTAAATTAATGGTTCTCTTAGTATACACAAGAAATCAACACAAGGCTAAAATTGTAAGAAACTAAACTCTTAACCAATTCTAATGATATCGATTTGATAATTTTTGGATTCATACCCAAAGAGAACAACACTCCCGAATTTACTGTTTAAAACCAGTTTTCTGGACAGATTTGAACGCATCAATTTATATGAATTTTGACTTCCAAAAATTATGAAAAAATTCAGATATGCAATTCAATATGTAATTAATCTACTGTAAAAATTTTAGGTCAAAATTCATTCGTTTGATATCGTTTCTTGATTTCTAAAGTTTGCTGTTCTAAACAGAATTTATTTTTTTGAATTAAGAAATACTCCATTATTAAGTTACCACTTAAATTCCTATTTTCCAAAACTCAACTGGTACAGCCTTCAAACACAACACTTAACCATGCGCAGCCACTTAAGGTCCACTATAACACTTTCAACAGTGGAGAACCCATCACTAGAATTCACGAAAGGAATACCTATATCCCACGTGTTGCTAGTTCTAAAATTCCATCAACACTGCTTGTATGAGCACCAAAAAATATTAATAAAATCCCAATCAAACACCATACTATTGCACTGCTTCCTCACGACAATGCTCAATCAACGAAAATATGATCATAGATAATAATGAATCAATAAAACAGGGAAGGAAGATGGTGGAAAATGCATACCTAAAATAATGAATTCACTTAAAAATCTAATGGTGTGCCTGCTTGCCACTCTCTTCCCCTCCCTTTTTGACTAACCGCTGCTGCTAACTTGGGGTGAGCAAATAAGATTGTACGATTTGTTTTGTTTTTATATTATATTAGGCAACCTAGGGTTACATAGGTATCTACACAAAAGCCCTAAAATATTATCTTTTGTTTTAATTTATTTTCTCTCTCAATTAATTTAAATAACATACAAATATTATTAGATCAAAATATGCTTACTAATTTGGCACTTAATTTTATTTATTTGTTTAAAATAATAAATCTTGCCTTTAAATTAAAGACTTTCACCATAAATTTATTTTAGGTTTTAAAATTAATTAAAAGACACTCCAACTATTTAATTTGCACTTTAGGATTCCCCATCAAAATATTTAAGATTGTAAAATTATTATTATTTAATTATTTACTCTATTTTTATATTCGAGTGCTCACAACTTAGGCCTGAAGCTTTGTGGATTCTGGAGTGGCTCATTATCGTGGATTCGATGTCAGCGTTGTAGATTCAATGCTGGGCAAAACAATTCTGAGGTGAAGACGGTAGTGGAAGAGGCACGTCGGGATCGATTCAATTTGGGCGTGGATTCGCTAGGTAATTGAGAGTACACTTGTGTAATTCTTTTTTGTCTTCTTACTATATGGTTTTATGGCTTTAGCCCGTGGTTTTTTATCACAATTGGAGGCTCTCCAATTGTAATTTTTTTCACGTTAAATGGTTGTGTCAATTTGTTATTGATTATTTGATTGGGATTGGTATTCACTATTTCAAATTGAAACAATAGAAAAATTCTCCATAGCAACTTAAAATTGATATAAAAATTAGTATATATATTGGATCTTATTTTAAAACTACACTAAAATACTAAAAATCATTTTGAACATCACTGAATGTGAATTTGAAATAAAAACGTGTATCGGTATGTTTTCTTAAAGTTGTGCAAAGAATTAGAAAATTCACAGCTCTGATTGCTGCCACCATTACGCTACGACCGTTACACCCCGCATTTGTGTCAGTGTTACCTCTACCGTCACGATAACCACCACCGTTATTTAAAACCTTGCTTAGCCCTAATTGATGAAAGGTTCAAGAAGGTGAATTGAGGAAGTATCGGATATCACCCCATGTGAGGGGTGATCTTTTTTCTATAATGCTTGTATGAAACTAAGCTACAGCTTGGGTGAAGAAGTCAAGGAAGACGGCACCAAATTCGGCAGAGTGTGGCGCATGTAGGTAGCTATCAGAGGCACTGGATTTCGTACTAGAGTGATTTGTGGAAGAGTGTCTGCCAACCTCCTTCCCTAGTGGAGTATAAATAGAGAGGCTCAGGAGTGAGCTAAGATATGAGTGACGAAGGAAGATGTGAGTGTTAATGTAAATTATGTAAATGTAAATTACCACTACCACTCACTCCACCTACCACCTCCACTACCACCCACTCCACCTACCACCTCCACTACCACCGGGTCAAAGCAAGAGCTAATTATCTGGAAGCGTTTATGTTAGAATTTACTATCACCTACCACCACTACCACCTCACCTACTCCACTAAACCTAACCCACTACACCACTACCACCTCCACTTCACCTACACCACTACCACCTCCACTTCACCTACACCACCTATATCTCCTATATAAGGAGCCTCTCACATTTGTACTAAATATATCAAACAACAATCTTGTAATCAATATCAATCAATAATACATAAATTTTTACATGGTATCAGAGCGAGGTTAAGAACTTAGTGATTCCGCTTCACCGGCGGGCGGCAGCCTCGCCTTGGCCGTCCGCCGGACAAACCCAAATTTTCTAATTCTCTCTCTCTCTATACTCTAGCTTTCTCTCTCTAAAACTCCCTGTTTTTGTAGTGTTTCTAGAGAGAGAAAATCAACTCCAATGGCTTACCCGAGCGTAGTGGTGTTTTTGATGTTCGCTTTGGTGGCTGGATCTGCCATCGCTCAGGCTCCGACAGCTTCACCGACGAAATCTCCGATGGCGTCGCCGCCGAAGGCCGCCGCGACTCCTTCGGTGGCTCCGACACCGTCCGTGAAGCCACCGACCTCATCTCCTAAGTCCTCACCCGGGTTAACTCAGTCTTTAGCGAGCGCGTCTGTTCTTCCCATGGTGTTGAAATCGGCCATTGAGCTTGACCTTTTGGAGATCATGGCTAAGGCTGGTCCAGGTGCCTATGTGTCGCCGTCGGAGGTGGCGGCTCAGCTGCCGACGAAGAACCCAGATGCGGCGGTGATGCTGGACAGAATTCTGAGGCTCCTAACTAGCTACTCTGTTCTCAACTGTACTCTCCAAGACCTCCCCAATGGAGGGGTCGAGAGGCTCTATGGTCTCGCCCCTGTTTGCAAGTTCTTGACTAGAAACACTGATGGTGTTTCCATGGCTCCTCTTTTGCTCATGAACCAAGACAAGGTCCTCATGGAGAGCTGGTATTATTTGAAAGACACAGTTCTTGAAGGTGGACTTCCATTTAACAAGGCCTATGGAATGACTGCATTCGAGTACCATGGCACTGACCCCAACCCAAATCATCGAATCAGCCATGTGGGTTTCTTCACAGAACCTCGATACAGGCGAGTCCATGGTTCACATCATCCTGGACTCTGCCGCAGGCAATCCCAACCGCACCACCGACCCACATGATTCCCTTTCTTTTCTTTATTCTCCACCCAGGCAACAATTCAGAATACAACCACATGATTCCCTTTCTTTTCTTTTCTTTATTCTCCACCCACACAACATATAGAATATATCTTCCCCCACATGATCCTCATCATTCATTCCACTAAAGTATATATATTAAAAAAAAAAAAACAACCTCACCCCGATCTTTCTCACCTTACCCATCCAAAAATATTGGCTTTTATCTATTTTCTTTTTATTATTTTATTTTATTTTTCTTATTCTCCAAAAACCCCAACACCAAAATCAACACCACAAACATTCCACACACTTGTCATTTCTTCATGCCGGGGATCAACCCCAATCACAATTTTACACAAAAAAAAAAAAAAAAAAAAAAACACAAACAAACAAACAAACAACCAAATCCACAACCACCACCCACAGGCGGAACTTTTTCCTTCTCCCTTCTCTACTCTGCAGCCGGTCTTTTCTTCTTGCCTCCGTCCTGGCTAGCCCTTGCCGGTGTTGCCTCCGTGTTTCCCACTCCACTGGGCACGTTCCCTCCACCCTGCTCCTCCACTGCAGCATATGGCGGACCTCCAAATCGGAACATCACGGTGGCCTTCCGCTTCAGCTCCTTATTTTCTGCCTTCAGCACACTTATCTCTGCTCGCGCATCCTTATACATGCGTTGGAGCAGCGCTAGTTAGGCGTTTAACTGCTGCACCTCATTTGTCCTACTCTACAGCCGATGCGACAAGTTTGTGACCGCCGTCATGGTTTCCACACATGACTTCAACGTATACTGATTGGCCTCCACATCCGACTGCACCGCCATTTTTTGCTCCACAGACCGCATCGGAAAGTTCAACGGAGCAAACCCAGTGGTGTTTGGTTGAGGTTCACGGGACACCGCACCAGTTCTCTCTCCTGTGGACTCGTTGAGATCGGGAAAGAGAGTGAGCAGCCCACGGGAAGACGAGGCCATTTTCTGGGCAACAGAGTGTTACAGAATATCTCTCACAACAGAGTGTTACAGACTATCTCTCTCAGCAAAACGAAGAATTTTTCTCAGCAAAACGAAGAATTTTCAGAGGTTTCTCTCTGTTTTTCTGTCTCCGTTTCTGCCTCCTCCGCTTCGGTTTATAAAGACCATGACACAGAGGCAGCCACGCGCATCGCACGCCTCTTGACGCCAGACAAACGGCACGCCATCAAAGGCGTGCCCGATGCATCAAAAGGCGTGCTAGATATGAATGGGCGAGGCACGTGAGTACTTTGGCTGGCGTGCCGTTTGTCTGGCGTCAAGAGCGCGCGATGCGCGTGGCT